GAGACGATTATGCTGATAAAAGGGCATTTTAGTAAATGAATTTTTATGCAAGGCTTAAAGGAAGTGTTATGGCCTAAGAAAATTTATAGATACTCTCTTAAAGGGAATTTATGGAGCAGACAGAAAAAATTTTTGAGCTCCGAAAGCCCATAAAGAAAGCCGGAGAAACGTGGGCCAAGTAAATTCGGAGGAAACTTAAGGATTAAGTTTTGATCCAATGGCTAAGATCTAATCTCCCTTCTCCTCCACCACGTTGTGACACTTGGCATCTTCTAGAAGAATGAGGTAAGGATGATGCAAGAAGCTGATGCAATGATGATGTAAAAGTTAACTTCAAGTTCCAAGATTGCCCTTATCCTTTCTATTAGCCACCAAGGGCATTTTAGTCCATTCAAGCCAAATTTTTGGCTATAAATAGGCACTCCCTCCCCTCACATTTTGGCCAAGCAAGGAACCATAGGGGAAACTCTGTCGCTCTTGCATTTAGAGAGAGAAAGAGCTATTTTTAGTGAGAGAAAGTCTACTTAAGTTCAAGAAATCACCAAGGTAAGCTCCTAAGCTCTTTGTTAATTATTGTGGGCTGTTTATATGTGATTTTATGTAGTTTTGGATGGTCATTTTCCATGGAGAGATACTGCTAAAATTTTGAAAATTATGGAAGTGTTTAATCAAGGGTTTAAAGCATAGACTACACACTTGAAAAGGATAGGATTTGTTTAGTTTTAAGTGAGTTTTGGAAAGAAAATCCCACCCCTATTTATGAAGATTCAGTTCGGCCAAGGAGAGAGAATGGGGTTAGAGTTAGATTTGATTAAATTTGATGCTTTCAACATGTTTAAATAATGAAATGGTGTAGGGAAACACCAAGAAATGGAGCTTGGAAGCATTCAATTTGAAAATGGAAATTTGGTTTTCAAGACACCCCTATTCGGCCAAAATGAGATCTATAGGTAGGGATTGGATTTTCACAAATTCAACCAAATATTTAGATTCCTTGGGCAAAATTGTGTAGGATTAGCCTGAGAAAATAATTTTTACAAAGCTAGAATGTTAATCCAAAATTTTAGAGGACAGGTTGAGTTCAAGAGAGCTAGTCTTGAACTTCATGTAATCTAGTGGTCCTAATAGATTGTATGATCGATGTGACTATGTTTAGAACCTTGGAAGATCCAAGATGATGTTTGGTGATGTTGACCGATTGCCCACATGGTTGGAAAGTCAAGGGAGTCAAAGGAAAAGTAAGAGGAAAGCTTGAGGTGCAAGGTAGTAAACTTACCTATTGTCATTGCTTGATGTTGTATGCATGTGTGTTGCTGTGTACATGTTATTGAATGTCATTGTGATATGTTTTAGCTGCTGTAATTGCTATTCATGATGAGTAGATTATATTTCTATAGCCATGCATCAAGAAGTTAGCTTTGAGCATGCTAATATGTCACTAATTAACAAGAGAATAGACAAGTTGCGTGTAGTGCATTAGCCATCTAGCATGACTAATATGGTATTGTTTGCTACTGAGATTCTCCTGAATCTCGCCCCTCCCTAACCAACCATTTAGGCCAATCAATGATGGGCACTAATGGCATGAGAAGCAAGGAGAAGAAAGTGGAGAATTATTGACGTTAATAATTGAGACTATGTTCAATGTATAATTTTCCTACATTGTAAATTATGTTATGAATGCCATCAATGCAAGGTATGTGCTTAGAATATTTATGGCATGATTGAAAGTGTGAGTGTGAATGAGGAAGATCAAGCCCAGGTTTTACATCCCAAAGTGAGAATTAGGCGGGAATAATTCTGTTTTATTGAATGATTCTGAAGTAGAGCGGTACAAAATATATAAAGCTAGGCTACAGTGAAAGATAAATGATTAAATGATAAAAAGAATCTATCATAATCTATCCTAATCAGGCTAGAATCTCAATCTGTCTAATAAACTAAAAATACAATGATAGAAATAAATGAAACACAGCTTATTGGGCTTAGGCTTTATCTTCCAACACTCCCCCTCAAGCTGGTGAGTAGATGTCGATCATTCCCAGCTTGCTCCTATGTCCTTCAAATGAGTCTCTGGGTAGTGGCTTAGTAAACAAATCTGCTATTTGATTCTTGGTTCGAATGTGAGATAAATCAATGATACCACCTTTTATTTTTTCCCTTATAAAGTATCTGTCAATTTCAACATGTTTTGTTCTATCATGGTGCACTAGATTTAGAGCCATTTCTATAGCTGATTTACTGTCACTCTAGAGTTTTGTTGGCCCAATATGCATCAGTCTCAGCTCTTTTAGAACTCTAATTATCTAGATTCCTTCGCAGACCCCAAGAGCTAGTGCCCTTTGTTCTGCCTCGGCACTGCTTCTGGAAACTACTGGTTGTTTCTTGCTTCTCCAGGTAACTAGATTTCCCCATAAGTAAGTAATGTATCCAGTAGTGGACCTCCTATCTAGTAAGGACCGCCCATGATCAGCATCCGTGTAGATTTCTATCCCCCTGGACTCTCCTTTCTTGAAGAATAAACCTTTTCCTGGATTCATCTTCAAATATTTCAAAATTCTGTACACCGCTTCCATATGCTGTTCTTGCAGTTGATTCATAAACTGGCTTACAACTCCCACAGCATAACGTATATCTGGTCGTGTATGAGCCAGATAAATAAGCTTTCCTACCAACCGTTGGTATCTTCCAGTGCAACCGGTGTACCATCTTTCTTGTATTCCAAATTGCAGTCTGTCTCTATAGGAGTTTCTGCAGGTTTAGCTCCAAGCATTCCTGTCTCTTGCAACAAATCTAGTGTGTACTTTCTCTGAGAAACATTTATTCCCTGTTTGGTTCTACTAATCTCCATCCCAAGGAAATACCTCATATGTCCCAGATCTTTCATCTCAAACTCAGCTGCCAATGATTTCTTTAACTTTCTTACGGCACTTTCATCGTTTCCTGTAATCACAATATCATCTACATACACTATTAGGATAGTGATTTGATCACCAGCATGTTTTATATAGAGTGTATGATCTGATTGCCCTTGTGAGTATCCCATTTTCTTCATTGTTGCTGAGAATCTTCTGAACCAAGTTCTAGGGGATTGTTTCAGTCTGTATAATGATTTCTAGAGTTTGCAGACCTTTGAGCAATTTGTTGAATTCTGGAGGCCAGCAGGTATCTTCATATATACTTCTTCTTTAAGATCTCCATTTAAAAAGGAATTTTTCACATCTAACTGATAAAGTGGCCAGTCTAAATTTGCTGCTACTGATAAGAGGACCTTAATGGTGTTAAGCTTTGCTACCGGGGCAAAGGTTTCTTGATAGTCAACCTCATATGTTTGTGTATATCCTCGGGCCACAAGTCTTGCTTTATATTTGTTTATGCTTCCGTCTGGATTGTACTTGATGGTAAAAACCCACCGACATCCCACAGTCTTCTTTCCTGAGGGTAAATCAGTGATTTTCCACGTTTCATTCTATTTCAATGCTTCCAACTCTTCATTGATAGCCTGTTTCCAATTAGAGTTACCCATAGCCTCTTGAAATGTCTTGGGTACTCTTTGACTGGAAAAGTTTGCTACAAATGTCTGCATTCTAGAAGATAATTTGTCATAGGAAACAAATTTACTGATAGGATGCTGAGTACAGGATCTTATCCCTTTTCTGAGAGCAATTGGCCACCCAAGTTCTTCAGGATCTAACATTGGATTGGAGACTTGGTTATGCCTTGGAATGTGAGAGACTCTATTATTCTGTTGCTCTTCTGAATCGACTTGTTCTTCTTCATTATCTGATTCAGTATTATACTCCTGGTCCATCCCTACGCTCACCTCAACACCATTTTCCACATGATCGTTTTGTTCAGTAGAGGAGGCTTGTGGGTTTGGATTTTCAGGTTCGGGTTGAGTAGAGGACTGTAGGTTTTCAGATTTGGGTACAACCAGGTTTGGTTCAGGGTGGTTGTCTAGGCTTGTTTGAACTAGGGTACCCAAAGTTACCCATTCTTCTGTGTCATAATTCTCTCCCTGCATGGGCAATTTGGGATAGTAGGCATCTTCTTCTGATAAAACAGCATTCTTAGTGACATAAACTCTCCTTCTTGTAGGGCAATAACACTTATATCCTTTTTGGGTAGGGGAGTACCCAAGAAAAATACATTTTAGAGCTCTTGAATCAAGTTTGTTTCCATCATCTCGATGTATGTACACTACACACCCAAATACTTTCAAGGGAATGTTTAAAACCAGGGGTGAATTTGGGTAGGTTTCAAGAAGTTTTTGAATGGGAGTTTGGTAGTTGAGTACTCTTGTGGGCATTCTATTGATGAGATAGGTTGATGTGAGAATAGCTTCTCCCCAAAAATGGTTTGGAACATTCCTGGCAATCATAATGGCTCGGGTGACTTCTAGGAGATGTCGGTTTTTCCGTTCAGCTACTCCATTTTGTTGTGGGGTGTATGTACATGAGGTTTGGTGGTGGATTCCTTGCTGATCAAGGAATTCCTTCAAGGTTGTGCTAAGGTACTCTCCTGCATTGTCACTTCTTAATACCTTGATTGTTCTTTGGAACTGAGTTTTTACGAATGTGTGGAAACTTCTGAATATGTTGAAAATTTCTAATTTTTCTTTCATTAGGTATACCCAAGTCACTCGTGTGTGGTCATCAATAAAAGTAACAAACCACCTAGCGTTAGAGGTTGATTTAACTCTTGCGGGTCCCTAGATATCACTATGTATCAAGGTGAAGGGTGCTGTTGGTTTATAGGGTTGTATGGGGTAAGAAGTTCGTGTTTGTTTTGCAAGTTGGCAGGTTTCACAAAGAAAAGGAACTGAACTTTTATTCAATAAATCTGGAAATAAATGTTTCATGTAATCAAAACTGGGATGGCCTATCCTAGAGTGCCATAATAATACATCCTTATTTGAAGAATTTGAACTAAACAACGCCTTGCCCACTTGTTTATTGGTGATCCTAGAGTCTTCAAGATAATATAGTCCATCTCATTCTTTAGCAATACCAATCCTCCTCCTCGTTGTCGAATCCTGAAAAATGCAATCGGTATCATCAAAAAACACTCTACAGTGATGATTTTTAGTTATTTTACTCACTGATAGCAAATTACATGCAAGTGCCGGGACTAATAGAACATTTTTTAATTCTAAGTTATCTGAGATCTCAACACTTCCAACACCACATACTTTGGAAAAAATTCCATTAGCAACTTTCACCTTAAGATTCTCATCATAACAATACTTTAGGATTTTGAACAAAGCTTTATTACCCGTCATATGATCTGTAGCTCCGGAGTCAACAATCCAAGTGTTATCACTGGTTACCATGGCGTTTAAAGCTATAATGGAATTACCTGACTTTACCAAATTTGCTGTAGGGTTGGTGGTTGAGTTGTTATGTTTCTCCAGGATTCGTTTGAGCACTTGTAACTCTTCTCGACTAAGAGTTTCCCCATTCTCTTCATTCTCGCTAGTCGTAGCAACATACCCCCTACTCTCCGGTCTACGTTTTTGTTTTAGATTTGCTTGCTTGCCGTGTAATTTCCAGCATATGTCCCTAGTATGACCATTTTTGTTGCAATGATCACACCATCCTTTGGAGTTCTTCTTTCCTCTCTGTTCTGGTCCATTGTTGCTCTGTATTGTCAACGCCAAACTCTCAGATAGTGCAGATACACTTAGGGTAAGTTGCTTTCTGCTTTCTTCACACCTAACCATGTCGAAAGTTTCAAATAGTGATGGCAGCGGTTTCATACCCATAATTCTTCCTCTCACATCATCAAACATGTCAATGAGACCGAGTAAGAACTCATAGGTTCTTTCTTTTTCGACCAGTTCCCTATATAACCGGGCATCACTGCTACACTTCCATTCATGGACATCGAACATGTCCAACTGCTGCCATAAACGTCATGCTTCCTATATATTATGTCACCGTCATGCTTCCTTGTTTCATCTCTCTTTGCAATTTTTTGATTTGAAACAAAGCAGCAGTGTTCTCCATAGCAGAGTATGTTCTTTTTGCAGCATCCCATATCTCCTTTGCTGTCTTAGCAAGTAAATAGCCTTCACTAATGTATGTCGTCATGGAATTACATAACCAGGTCATTACTAGATTGTTTTCAGCAAACCAAGTATCATACTTCAGGTCATCTGGACTTGGTTGTGGAGCCTCCCCAGTTATATATTTTTCCTTTCTTCTGCCTCGTAGGTACATAAGGACGCTTTGAGAATTACTTCCGTTCAACTTGTGAGAGATCAGCATCTGCTGCGTTTCTGTGACCATTCTGGATTCTATTCCCGTAGGAGGAGAAGAGGTGGGACCCGATGTAGACGAAACCGACGTAGAAGAAGAAGAATGAGACAGTGCTGTACCTGCCGTTAATGTTGAAGAAGAACGTCTCATTGTTCCAAACAGAGGCGGAAACTCTCCAGACTCCATCTTCCAACTGCTTGTTCCCGTCAGGTTCACCAGATTACACGACTGTGATTGTGCCTTTGTTGTAACCAATCAGGTCGGTCTTATTGGCTGTCTTCGGTGCGACGGATTACTCGATTAGGAGTGTGGCACCATATGACTAGTTACCCTGATCTTAGTCGCTGTCTTGTATGCGGCCGAATCACCCAATTGTGGACGTGACTGCATGCGACCAGTAAAGTCGGTCTTAGTCGTGCTGAAAGCGGTGACTTTCACTTTCTCTCTCGCTCGTCTTAGCCACACTGAGGATGGCGACTTTCACACTCTCTCTCTCGCTGGTCTTAGTCGCGCTGAAGGTGGCGACTTCCACTCTCTCTCACGCCGGTTTGCGACTTCTACTCTCTCGGTTGCCCGCTCTGATACCATGAGAATTAGGTGGGAATAATTCTGTTTTATTGAATGATTCTGAAGTAGAGCGGTACAGAATATATAAAGCTAGGCTACAGTGAAAGATAAATGATTAAATGATAAAAAGAATCTATCATAATCTATCCTAATTAGGCTAGAATCTCAATCTGTCTCATAAACTAAAAATACAATGATAGAAATAAATGAAACACAACTTATTGCGCTTGGGCTTTATCTTCCAACATAAAGAAATAAAAATAATTAAAGTAAAAGTTAGTTAAGGGATAAAGCGTAGGTCCTGGAGCAGTTAGTTTCGAGCTTCAGTTTGACCTATCAAATGAATAAGTTAAGCTATAAAATTTAGTATACTTATAGTACACATCTGAAGCTTTAAAATAAGAGGTAGATCACCCCAATTGGATATGTATATAAAGAGACATGAATTTTCAAAGTTAAGGCACAGAATCTGGAAGTTCCAGATTTTTCCAAATGAACAGTAATACTTATCCAATAAACTGTACAAATTGGGTAAGGATAAGTCTAATTGGATATTTTTACCTTACATAGCATTGAAAGAGATTTCCGTAGAATTTTGGAACACCTCCATTCGATTTTTCTAGAATTAGTTATAATTATTCAAAGTTGGACCTGTAATTTGAAAATTAGCAGAGAACAGTAAATTTTCCAAAAATTAACGTCCAGATTGAAATTTCTAAGTTTAAGACCATCCAAAGTGGTCTGAAATGACTCTAAATGAATGATAAGGTATTATATAAGTAAGATGTAACATGGATAGTCCAACTCCTAGATTTTTTAGTATTTAGACATAAAAAAAAGTGAGATTGCAAAGAAATCCTAGTAGCAAGAACCACAATAATCACGCTAAACATGTAATGCAAGAATGCCGTATGTCACTAACTAAATGTCATGTATACCAATACGCTCTTGTGCCATGGAAAGGGAGCAATCAAACATACCATCAAACTACTCAACGTTGCATAAAGCCAAGGCACATTATGCATAGAGTTAATCATATCATCATCCATCTAGCTCTACCATATCATGGCATAGAAAAATCAAGCAACACATAGTAAAACAAGCAAAGCAAGTTAGCATTCAAACTGCAAGTTCATTGCTACCTCTTTAATGTTTAAAGCTTTCAGTGTCTTTTACTTCCTCTTGTTCTTCTTTGTGTCCTTGATCAATTCCTATCAATTCATGCACAAATATATGCCATATTATCAATAATGTCACATAAAATACTATTAGGTATCAAAACAACTCTTTAACCCCTTTTTCCTTTGACTTTTGACTTCAATATTTCTCTTTTGTTTTGACAAGTCTCAAGAGCTACTTCTACATAATCTTTCATGTAGAATTCAAATATAAACTTGGCTTTATCAAAATCAAACTCCTCCCTATTATTCTGTCCTTGGCTGAATAGTATATATATTAGGGTTAGAAATTCCATTTTTTGATTCTAATACTTTTAAGCACTTTCTCTTAGTGTTTTCCTACACAAAATCACATTCTAAACTCATTAGAATCATCAAATTAATCTAAAACATCTCCTAACCCTTTAAACCTAGCCTGGCTGAATTGCTTCTATAATTAGGGATTTGGAGTTTCTTCAAAAATCAATCAAAACATCAACCAAACAAGCTAATCCATGCTCTTAATCATGGTTTCCACCCTTCCCTAATCATTCCTCATTGTTTCAAAAATTAGATAGCATCTTGCTCATGATTTTTGGCCATAAAATTCCCCTTGAAACTTGCTACAAATATAGTCAAATGGAAGCTCTTATATACCTTAATTAATCTTTGATATTTGCTTGATAAATTCTTGGTGATTTTAGTGTGTTCCTCCCTCTTTATGATAAGTTTTTTTGTAGTAAAACCTTCCCCCTTTAAGTTTCCAAAATGACCAAAATTGAAAGCATAGAGGGTATATATAGGTAAACATTTCAGTCTCTTTGCCCTCTATGTGTCACATCCCAATTTTTAGGCCCAGGAGTCCTGGGAGTAGCCCAAAATAGATAGGCTACTAAGCCCCTCAGAGCAGAAGTCTCAAAAATGAGAAAAGAAGTCAAAGCAGTTTCAGGGACTAAACTGCAAAGTAAGAAAGTTACTAGGGGGCAAACTTGCAAGTAATGTTGAGGTTCCAGAAGAGTCTCAAGAGCCCAGAAAGAGAAAAGAGGCTAGATACAAGCCAATAGTTAAGTTAGAAGCCCCAGAAGAAATGTTTTATGAGGTTAAGTCTAAGTAAAGACTAAATTGTAACTTCATAAAGTTACGGGCCAATAGAGGTAAAAATAGAAAATATATAGAAAATTTTAGAAAAATCTTAGAAAATAGAAAATAATATTCTAAGACTCTTTTATGAAGAGAAATGATGAAAATACTCTTGAGGCAACCTAAATGGAATTTATAAGATTATGACCTTGTAAAAGATATACTGATTGAGGTAATTATTTGAGATAGTAAAAGATCTAAAAAATGTACATAAAACTGAGGTTAGGAAGCTTAAAGGCTATGATAATTTATAAAATTAGTCTCACTTCTAGAAGATTAGCATAACGGTTGGAATAAAATAGAAGGCTCAATTATGCTGATGAAGAGCATTTTGGTAAATGATTTTTATGTGAGGCTTAAAGGAAGTGTTATGGCCTGAGAAAATTTATAGATCTTCTCTAGAATTAAAAGAAATTTATGGAGTAGACAAAAGAATTTTCTGAGCTCCAAAAGGGTATTAAGAAAGTTGAATAAATGTGAGCCAAGTAAATCAGAAGAAAACTTGGAGACTAAATTTAATCCAAGAGCCAGGATCTATTCTTCCTTTCCTCTCTATTAGATTTCTGCCACCTAGCTCTCTACTAGGAGGATGATGTATTGGTGATGTAAAAATGTACTTGAAGCTTCAAGTTCGCCCTCACAATTTCTACTAGCTTTCAAGGGCATAATGGACCATTTAAGGCATAAGTTTTGGCTATAAATACCCCATCTTAGAAGAGCATTTTGGCAAGCATTTTTAGAGGAAAAACTCTACCAAAAATTAGAGAGAAAAATGTAGGGGTGAAGGCCAGGAAAAAGGAACAAGATTCAAGCTTCAAGATCAACGTATGTGGTGATTCTAACACTTGTCTTGATGCCTATTTCGATTAAGTGATTTTTAGTATCTGGTTCTGAAATTTGGCATGATTAAAGTAACTCTCTAAGCTTTAAATCCATAGGTAGAACACTTCATTTGGATATGTGTATGATTTATGGTGATTTTTCAAATTTAGGGTTTAAAATCTGGAAATAGTTTTGATCACTAGAGTAGTAGGAAACTTTCATACAATTTTGGTACTGTTTTGCACAAAATTGGTTTCCTAAAACTATTTTTCCTTTAAAGAGAACTTAAGGATCTTTCAATAGGACTTGCAACCACTCAGTTTTTATTTTTTTTAGAACCAATTACAAATTTTCAAAGTTGAGCAAAAATTCTGAAAATACTGATGAACAGTACCCACAAAGCAAGTCTTAAACTTTGTTATCTCTTGGTCCTAGTAAATAATGTGACCCTTGTGGCTATGATTAGGACCTTGAGACATTCAAGAGAATGTTTGGATTGGGTTTTACTAAAAGCTAGATGGTCCGGAAGCTTAGGGAGCAAATTGAAGAATGAGAGAAAACTTATGGTGCAAGGTAGTGAACTTACCTATTAACATTGCTTGATGTTGTATGCTTATATATTGATATGTACATGATGATTGGTTGATGTTGTGACATATTTTGAATGCTGTAATTGCTATTTATGATAAGTAGATTATGTCTCCATAGCCATGTATTAAGTAGGTAGCATTAAGCATGCTAATATGTCACTGATTAACAAGAGAAAGAAGGAAGAAATTTTACCTTTCAATTCCCAATATTTCTCATTCTGATTTCGTTGTATCAGCTAAACTTTCTATCTAATTTCCAATAATCTTTTTTGGACCTTCAAAAATTTATTTCTACCCATCACAAACCTTATTTTAATACAGGAATGTCTCTTGAAATTTTCTAGAATTTATTTCACCCTCTAACTACCTGTATTGAATTTTCTTCGAAATCAGGTTTTACATATAAGATTTCGGTAATAATTATTCTAAAATTAATTCTTTCACTTTCAGAGTTTGAAAATAATTTTATAATATCACATAAACTTCAAATAATTTTCTCATATATTTTTTGGAATTATTGAGGCCTCTATATATTTAAAATAATTGTTTCTGGCTGATTTTTCACTGTTTTACCATGAAAGCCTCTGTTTACAGATAATTCTGTAATACATTATTTTCATGTTAATTCTACTTCCAGGGCCTCACATATAATTCTAAACTCTCTATTTTATTTTTCTAGGATTTTTCATGAATTTTCTGGGATTTTTATCTAATTTTTCTATTTTGCCCTTCTTGGACTGATAATTTCAAAAATGTCAGTCCGGTTCGGGGTCGGATCTTAATTCAAAAGTTGTTCCGGCTCTAAATCTTGACCCTCTATCTAATTTATTATTTACACTCCCAAGGTTAAAATTAGCGGGATGTGACAATTAACAAGTGGAATGATCATTAAAAAAACAAAAAATTGTGTTGTTAATTACAAAAACAATTCCCTGATTATGACATAAGTTTAGGCCACTTGTTAATCATCTAATTTATAGTATTGTTAGTGGGCTTATTCCACTTGTTAATCATCTAATTTTTATTGTTTGTATGCTTATTTCACTTCTTAATCTCATAATTCTCTTAAATTGTAATTAGGAAAGATAAGCTTACTATACATATATTTTTGTATACTTTTATGGGCTCATCTTCTTTTGGGATAAAAAAAATGCTCCTTTCCAAAGCCATGGTGATGGTTAACCATTTTTAAAAAAAATTAGGGCACCAATGTTTTTTCACCCATAAAATTGAATTTAATTTAGTGTTAAGGGAGTGCAGTAAAGTTTTAGAATTCATTGCAGCTCCTGAAAATTAAATTTGCCACAAGGGGTGCAACGGATTTTTCCATTGATAACTTTTTGAACGAGCCCTCAGAGATGTGAAAAAGCAAAGGTCGACACTGGTGCCACTAATACTTTTATAACCGATGAAAGTTGATGCTATAACCAATGAAGATACACAAATAGGGCCATGACAAGCTCCTTTATCTAATCACTGACAATAAAGACCAAAAAGAACTCACTACATCTTATTCTTATAAACAAGCTACACAAAAAGCTCCATACTGCAGAAAAACAAGCCAAAAGAATAATGTTGAGAACTCGTCCCTTATACTCCACTCACAGCATCATCTTCACAACATTCAAACTCTCTTCTCTCCTTTATCTCTTTTCTTCAGAACTCACTTCTCATGGCTTCCAAACCATACCTCAAACCTTCATCTATGCAGGTTGCTCTCAAGAAAAATACGAACCCAACACAGAATTCGAAAGTAACCTAAATTCTTTTCTCTCTTCAGCTTTTAGTTCATCCTCTCAATTTTCCTACCACAGCTTTTCCATTGGAAATAACAACGAAAGCTCAATAACACTAACAGATCCAGCCACAATCTATGGTTTGTACCAATGTAGGGGTGATTTGCAGCCTATAGACTGCAGAACGTGTGTTGAAACGTCTATTCACCAAATAACCCTAGTTTGTCCCTATTCCTTTGGAGCTATTTTGCAGCTAGAAGGATGCTATCTCAGATACGAGCATGTGGATTTCTTGGGCAAGGCTGACACAAGCCTTAGGTTCAGAAGGTGTCGGAAACCGGTGAAGCAGGTCGACATTGACTTCTTCCGGCGAAGAGATGCTGTTGTTACAGATTTATTAATGGCTGCTAATAATGGGTTTAGGGTTAGCAGAGAAGGTTTTGTTGAGGGTGTAGCTATGTGCCTGGGAGATTTGAGAGCAGCAGATTGCTCCTCTTGCCTTGGGGAAACGGTGGGGAAGATGAAGAGCTTGTGTGGAACGCAAGCAGCAGAAGCGGCTGTGTTCTTAGCACAATGTTATGTTCATTACAGAGCCTATGGATACTACGAGGAAGCTTCTGGTACGTCCTTTATTCATGTTTTCTATCTTTCGTTAAACATTCTAGAATTTTAAGGCATTTCCAATTACTGTAGTCGTGGAATATGCATTAATGAAAATTTGAACAGTCTCAATAAGTTGGAAGTATTGAGATTGTTTTGAAAATAAAAGAATAATCCAGATTCTTTATTAACGGAAAAAAAACTTGTCATTGTTCATGACGGATTTTAATTATGCAAATTTAATTGATATTCTTCTGGATTGTCTTTCCTTCTAATGTTAACATAATTTTTTTTTAAATTTGTGGTAATTAGAATATCATTTTATCCTAATCTAACTTCCTTCGAAAAAATTTTTTAGATTAAATAACAAGATTTTAAAATTTAAAGCCGTCTAAATTAACTCGAAAAGTCCAGATATCTGAACTGTGCCATTGACGAGATGGCTCAATTGGGAAGATCTAGCTATTAAAAGGGTATTATATATATATATATATATATTTAATTTATATATATGGGGTTCATTTCTTTTATTTTTATTCCCTTTCTCTTTTTGCTTTGTTTTCCTTTATTTAAGAGATACTTTGCCAGATTGCAGACAATCAAAACTTGACCAACAATGAAGAGTTTGACCACCTGAGGTGAACTAATCCCTATGATTTTTCTTTAAAATAAAAAAATAAACTCAGGCAACATGAATTCCTCCTCTGCTGCCTTTTTAATTATTATAAGCAGTTGCTGGCCAAAAGAATTTACAGCCACTAGTTTCTTTTGGCTGTGATCTTAATTAATCTATCTTTGGAATTAAAGTATATTGACCTGTCTTGAAATTTACACATTGCACAGTCCCCTCTCTGAGTTTTCCCAAGAGGGAAAATGCTGACGCATAAGCTTTCATGTAACAATCATGTCAATAGAGGAGACTTATGCATAATTTGAAAATAAAAGGGTGGGTCACTGTAAATTTTAATAATCTTAAAGGAAAAAATTTACTGCAGAATATTCATCCACATTTGAATGAAATTTGTTTAACACTAACCCCATTCTTTAATATAAGACCTAGTCAACTAATTTGATAAAATTAAAAAATTACGTAATCATAACATATGTTACATAATCTTTCTTAAATACTTATATGTATTATTAAATTATATATCAATTTACAAATTAGGCAAATTAGTTTGGACAAAAAACGATAAATATATATTTACTTTAAAATAATTTTTTAGTTTTTCTTAATCTCTCCAAATTAATTAACTGAGTCTTATATTAAAGATTAAAAGTAGTACAATACAATATGTAATTAAAAAAAAAAAGACACGACACAAGAATGGCCATTTTACATAATAGGAGCATCAGAGACTTCCCAAGGAGGAAAATATTGTCTGAAGTACATAAAGTATATGAACTACATGAAGTATATATATACAGTTTTGTACTTTCTTTTGGATCATGGTCTTCGTTAATTTTCAACCTTTACTTTAAAATATTTCTGTGCTTTTCCACCTTCTCAATTAGATTTGGCGCAAAGCCACCCCTGCTGATCTTTAGCTAAAATACATCAAATGAAAATGCACACATTCATAACAGAAATACCATAATTGAGAAAATTAGATGATTTATCAATTTGATAAAATGAAAATAAAGAAATATATATTTATTTTATTTGCTTATACAGTTGAAATAATACTTTTTTATGGCAACAGATAGCAAACATGATAACAATTTCCTTCTACATTCCATACCTAGAATAAAAATATATAATGTGTATATGCCTGTATTTATTCCACAATGTCTATTTCTTTCCATTGTTTTTATTGTAAAAATGAATAATTTTTTTGCAATAAAAATAAAAAATTCTCTCGTCTCTCTCTCTCTCTCTAATCTCAGTTCATTTGGTCAATTCTATACGTACCAAATGCCTGTGTTGATATGGTGCTTTGTGCAGATTCCTCAAGGGAGGATCGAGTGAGGAAAGCAACGGCTATTCTATTGGGATTGTTGGTAGCACTAATCATTCTTATTGGGATTCTCTCTATTTGCCAAAGAGCAATGCGTCAAAAATAAATAATTTTCCGAGATCATCTTCATAATGATGATGGCTGGGGGGATGAGAGGAGAGAAGGTGGGGGGGGGGGGAGAATATATTAGAGAATAATTCTTATAGTCGTCTTTTTTGAAAGGTTCAAGTGGAAAGAGAGAAATTGGAGAATGTTTACTTTTTATTTGTACGCATAGTCAGCTTTCTTTAATTTTTTGATTTGATTATTATTATTCAATTATCGATAATTAGATTCTTCATTCTTGCAGTAGATTATCACCTTCAGTTCTTTAGTTCGCATCTTTTAAAATTCTCTTTGTATTAAAATAAATTTTATTGATGCGATTAATTGTTTTGACATCAATACATTTGAATATGAATCAAACAATAGACACCGAGTTGATTTTTCACTTGCAATGACAAAGAACTTGAGATCATCTTCTCCTAATATAATTAAAGACGAACATACTCGGAAAGTAATAAAATGAAGTTCATTTATTTATTGGAAAATTATAATGCTTACTTTAATTGTTATGGAAGCAAAGTATTTATGCTGCCCCGCCAAAACCAAAATTAAAAAAAAAAAAAAAAGGGCGACGAAGCATCTCCTTTGTCCGCCCTATAGTTTGATTTTGCATTGGTGGGCTGAGGGCTTGAGGCCCTTCTTTATACCAAAAGAAAGACGAAAGAGAATAAACGCTTTTTAATTGGGCATTTTATTTTGTTACTTTATTGCGGAAAAAACACACACAGCGTATGCTTTTAATTTCTAAAACATATAAATTAATATAATCAATTTTTTTCAAAAAAAAAAAAGCTCAACGTCTTGAATTTGAAAGTTGAAACACATTTAAAACCAATTGTTGCCATTTTATGTATCATAATCATTTAATCATATACTTTTAATAACTATTTATTGATACAAGTAAGTTGATAAACTCTTCAGAGTTTATATTATTGTCAGGAGTTTGCTAAAGTTTGACAATCTCACCATGGTAAAAATAATTCTTTTGAAACTTCAGATTATGTTGAATAAAATTACTGATAATATTTTTTCTTCTCTCTCCAAAAATCTTAAAATACATCCAAATTTGTTCCCTCTTATCATCATATTTATAAAAAACCTATTAACTACTACTCCTCCGGTTCTTTTTATAAGAGCTTATAACCAAATAATGCATTTTTAAAAAATGGTTAAAATTAGTTAAAAATAATAAATATGTAAGAAATGAACTTTTTCTTCCGAGTATGCCCATATTTATAAGGGGCAAATAAGAGAGAGAAATAAAGTAGTAATGAGTGAAAGTATGAGAGAATATAGTATGTCAAGTTACCAACCTTTTAATTAATGCAATGTATAAAATTATTTAGGGGCAAAAGTGGTAAAAATACACTAAAGCTTTAGAGAACCCCAATTAAGATCTTATAAAAATAACTAACGTACTTCAAATTTTAAGCTTATATAAAGAACCGGAAGGAGTACTTAATTGGATTAAAAATTTTAGTTAAAATTTGGTAAAATTTTATTGACATTTCAAAATTACCCTCAATAGAATTCATTAATTAAAGGAGATTATTTAGTTAATTGGAAGCTTATATAGTTAGTTAGAGAATATTAAAGCAAAGGATACTTAAGAAAAAATTAATATTTATACACAAAAGAATCTTATATTAGGTCACAAGAGTACGGAAGAGATTATAGAAAAAACATTGAGTAAAAAATCCGCAATATATATATATGTAGAGAGAGAGAGAGAGAGACCAATATTATATCGAACCTTATTATATCAAATGATTTTGTATTATTCTTATTTTATAAAAAAATTTATAGCAAAATGACATGCCCATGGAAACAAAGCATGAATGGAAATTTTGACAATTATATATGAAGTTGGATAATAAATTAATAATTATGAACAAGGGTATCGGCTAGAACATAGTCAACATGTATGCTGGCAATTCTTTAATACAACAATTAATTAAGATAATAAGTCATTATCAGATATTACTATAATTTTCTTCATTTGTTTTCATACAATTATTATGAGTGCCAACTATAATTCACGTATTAATAATTATTGTAGTTAGGTGGACAATTCAAAGGCAGGCTGGTGGCCGCTCAACTTTAATTTACACTTTGCCAATTTGCACTTAAAAAGGCAGATCCTGCGTTAATTTGCAGGCTCAGCATAATGTTAAGTGTACAACGATGAATTTTCACTTCATTGGACTGTTAAAGAAAGTATTTCCTTCCATAGCTTGATGTTTTACTGATCTTCCTGTGTTTTTCAAATGTTACACACACACACACACATTCAAATGAATATGTTAAAATCAATATCATATTAATATTAAACATTTGGGTAAGCCATACTGTTTATAAATTATAAACATTCACCAAACACATTTGCTTATATTTGATACTTAATATATACTTGATAGGCAAACCTATATTTGACTGTTATTAAACATGAACCGTCAAATGTATATAACAATTGCTTGACAGTTAAATAAATATACGTCAAATAGTATTGGATATAGTTATACTTGATAATTAATTGTAAATACCTATCAAGTAAGGACTCTTAAAATCCTTCAAATTTCGTTCCTTTGTGTCTCAGCACGAATAACGCATGTGCCATTTGAGATCCCACCACTACGATCACTCATTGCTGCCCTCGTTAGCTTTTAAAATGATCAATTCTTAAAATCATCAACTCACCTTTGTCTTTCTTTTCAAACGCCGGCTTCTCAAAACCCTCCAACTACTTCGCCAACTGCTTTGCCTCTGTAATGTCATCGGTTACACTTGAAAATATTTTCTAAGCCACTTATCATCTCCGGAACACAGTCAACTATTACATGATTCATCAAGAACATTTGATGGCCACCTAAAGAAACTCAACACTTGTGTTTACACTCCTCACACCAAGAAACAAAATATTGATCATCTTGATCTTCAATCTAAATCATCCCTATATCCTACATCTAAGGACTCTTCCTTCAAAGGCATTTAAATTTTTCTAGTTTAGCTTATTCTGGTTTTTGTTTGTTTGTTTTAGTTTTGTATATGTAACAAGGGGATGCTTAGTTTAAAATAATAATAATAATGCATCACCTATGACCTTACTTAATGATTATATGAATGAACTATCAAATAGTTGTATTTTTCAAATTTCCATAAACTAATACTATTTGACAGGTTTTCCCAAAAAAAGGAAAAATTTCAAGTAAGGACCGCATTTGGCAATTAATTTCAAATAGGCCCTAAAAAATTTCTAAAATTTCACTGAAGGACCCAGGGGCAAATTGAAATTAATTGCACAATCATTTGATAGAAATGCCTTGCAAAATGCGATGTGCTGAAAATGAAGAAGAAAGAAGGAAAAAGGAGAACTGAGAAAATCCAGGGGATGATGGTCAATCTGAAGGTGCATCTATCGCCTGTCTGTGAGAAGTTGTCACATCCTGCAAAAATTGACCCTAGTAATGGATATGAAAAATTAAGTTAAGAGCCAATACAAAAGGTAGACTGGCTGACAAAGCCAGGTATGACCTAAAATCTGAATAACGTCGGACTAATATTTTTGAAAGTATCGGTCCAAGAAGGGCAAAATAGAAAAATTTGAGAAAAATTTCAAAAAATTTCCAAAAAAATGGTAAAAAGGTAAATTAGAGGTTTTGGAACCTCAATAGAGGCCGTAAAGGTAAAAATAGTGTGAAAATAGATTATTACGAAATTTCTTGAAAATAGAGGTTTTCAGGAAAAAAAGTAAAAAATAGGAGGAAAATAATTATTTTAAATAGTTAGAGGCCTCAATCATCCTGAGAAAAATATGAATTAATTATATAAATATTTGATTGAATTTATAAAATTGATTTTAGGCCTTGAAGGTACAAGAATTTATTTCCAGCAAACTTACTGATAAAGGCTTATTCGGGAAAAATTCAAAATAAATAGTTAGAAGTGGAAAAAATCCTAAAAATTCACATCATATTCTTATATTAAAAGAGGATTTTTCATGGAGATAAATGTAATTTTGGAGGTCTATAAAAATTATAGAAAGTTACTAGTGAATAGTAATCGATAAGCATCAATATTATTTGGAATTAATATTTTATTATTGGGCTAAATTCTTGAAACTTTCCACATCAAAAATGTGCCTCACATAGGCCCAAGAAAGGCCCAAAAATTCATGCAAAATGGTGGCCCAATAATTAAATGGATTTAAGCCCAATTTTAGTTAAAATATCAGTAGGAATGTTCTGGAGACTAGACATATGGCATGATCTAAAAATTTGATGGCCTGATGGTAGCCACATGGCCATTTTTTGCTAGCTAAATTTCGGCCATTGATGAGGGGAAGAGATCAGATTTTTTTTGTCTATAAATACCCCCTCAATTTGGAAAATTTTGGCCAAATAGAGAACCATAAAAGGAGGTGCTACCAAACTGAATTCTTAACCTTGAAAGAGAGCCTTCAACTGTGCAATTGAAAGGGAAAACACCAACCTTTGATCAAGGGCTGATTGAGGTAAGTTTGAGCTTTGTTATGGTTATGATTAAAGCTTGGTTTGGTTGAAAGTTTGAGTTGTTTTCTAAGAGAAAATTGCTGCCCATTTTTTGTCTACATGAGTTTGTGTTAGGAAAGGATAGAAGCCTTAAAAATGAGTTGGAATCGTTATGTTTAAGTGATGTTTGAATTGATTTTTGGAAGAAAACCAAGTTAGGATCATTAAGTAGTCAATTCGGCCAACACATGTTCTTGGGGTAGGAGTTTGTTTTGATGTGTTTTGATGATTCCAATGAGTTCAAAATGTGTTTTTGTGTAGGGAAACACCAAGAAAAAGGTTTTGAAATCATTGGAATAAAAAATGAAGATTTTGGAACATATACTACTCCTATTTGGCCAAGTCTAATTGAAAAGGAATGGATGTGATTTTCTGAAATCTGATTTGATATTTGGATTCTACATGAAAAATTATGTAAGAATGGACCAAGAGGTTTGAGTAAACAAAGAGGGAGTAATTATGTCAAAAATCAAGAAAAAAGGGGTTTAATTAAGCTTAA